AAAAGATCGTTGATAGGGAACACTGTACTGTTTTGCCTGAGTCTGGATACACAACACATTTTCAAACTACCAACAATTGCACCTTCCAACCAGTCCCAAATGCAATTGCCACACATGCGCCAGCAGCCTGGAACGCCTCCTGTCGTTTCCTACGGATCTGTTTGCAAAATCGCTCTTAAAGTCAAATGTGTTCCTCAAACCTAGAAAGGAAGAAAAAAAAAATTAAGACAGTCCTTGCAAGGTCAAGTTCATTTACAATTAATTTAAAACAGCAGAAAGTACTTTAACCGTTAAAAAAAAAACTAAAAAAAAAACAAACAATTAGACTAAGACAAAGTCGCGTGGGTGACAGTTTCCATTTGTTTATGTTGGAGTCGGTAAACAGGCAAGGTAATGGCTTTCTGAATTTCAAGCTGTATGTGTGTTTGTGTCACTTACCCCTCTGCACTGTAACAGATTCAGTGGCGAGCTGCAGCAACGATGGCAACCTACGAAGCCACCAAGCATCCCAGGCAAAGCATGCAGGTTGTGGACACCACAGGTATCCTGGAGCTTGAGATATTTCTCTAAGAAGGGCTGAGAATGAGAAAACCAGTGTATACGTTAATTAGAGTCTGTAACCAGGCCAGAGCCCGTGAACTTAACAACACTGAAGTCATAAGTCCAAATTCAAGTGGACAGTGAACGCTTTTAAACTGAGTTCATCAGCTCTTGTAACACTGTTATTTTCCTGGAAAACAACTACAACTTTTCAGTTATGACTCCTTTTCATTCTGCCTCCTTATCATAGTTGCTTATTCATATTTATTCGCCACCTTTTTTCTTCCCTTCCTCATTTTACTTTTCTGCAGTGACAGCGCCACAGCACAGACTTCAAGATCAGAATTTTAAGAAGGTGCAAATACTGCAGGCTCACCGAGACAAACAAGTAGCCAAAGGTGGAGATGATGCCATGCAGAAACCCACAATAGAGTGAACCATAAGGAGTGATCATAGAACTTGCTGCTGTTCCCATGGCAACACCACCAGCCAGGTGGCATTCTACTATGCACCTGTCAGTGAATAAGGGATGTTAGTGAGAGATTGAGAAATTACGATGAACGTTCCATAACTAGTTTTTGAAGAGTTATTGAGTAACCGTCATGTGCTCATGTTTTTTGGGTCCTTTTTTTTCTGTGTTTTTTAGGAATAAACAGCATTACCATGTCCAGTTTTCTCTCTTCTGAGAGCATGTGCGATTGCACTGGCCACAGGTCGTCGAGCATCAGTTGGGATGCCGAGTGAGACTGTAGGTCATTATGGCTGCTCTGTGCTGTCCATTCCACCATGGTCTGTGATGGCTGAGTTGAAACTGGGCCAGAACATCCACAGTAACCAGCCTTTGCTCACCCTGTATAGTCTGTGTAACGCGCTAGAACGTGGGAGAGCCCAAGCTCTAAGCACGCATGAACATTCGAGAGTGTTAAGAATTTAGAGAACTAATCGGCCAGTTCTCCCTCACTCACACAAATAAGAAGCACACTGTAACTTTACTAGAGAGTGTGAGTGCATATATAACCTACTCTCTATCTCAAGCCACATGCACTCGGAGCACTAATGACCATACACACTCACCGGGTCCCACTTCACTGTGGTACCGAAATCGACAGTATCCATCATAGCCGTCTTGCCTTCATGGTTTGGTCTCTCTGTGCCTATATGCAGGGTCATCGGTCACCAGCGAAGACCATACCCGCTCAGAATTCCGACAGGTCGACCAGTGATTTTGCATGCTCTGATCTCAGAGGCACTAATCTCCTGTGAGTGATGGATACACACTCTCACAGCTACGCTACAAAAATTAACCTCGATTACTATGCTCATGTGATTAACAGAAGCAGAGCAAGGTTAATGGATTCCTCAAGCGGAATCAGTATCATACTCCTTGGACAACTTGATAAGTTAATATACTGTGTGGTGCTCGCATTTTGGATAATATATATAATGCTCTCTGCTGAGCACTATACCTATGTAGCGACAGAGCACTCTCGGAGGGATGATGAATCTCCCACTCACCACCCAGCGTGCATCTCTCGTTGATAGCCAAATGCACAACAGCCATAGTCAAAGCCACATGCCTGGTGAGAGCGACGCATTACACGCTCTGTATATATTCTTTCCCATGGAGTCCGGCACTACAGCTCAGGCAATCAGAGACCGCAGGCCACAAGTTCAGTAGTCTGCATTATGATCTCCGAGAGTGTGGGTCGGCATATGAACACTAAGAACAACATGTCCAAGATTGACCAAATATAAGCAAACAATACGACTCCACAAACTCACTGTGAGGACGTCACAGTAAAGCTGGACTGGACCAAAACTGGCAATTGTACCCCAACGACCTCAGACCCCACCTACCCCTTGAAAATTTCGTGTTGTCGCGCTCCTCGTAATTGACCAAGAGTTGATTATAGATATAGGATATCTCTAGCTCTCCCAAGTGATATATATAACTCAGGAAAAGGCTACTACCTCCATGCCTATATATGAAGCCATTGCCTGAGAGCATAGCACGTTTCTTCAGCTGGGCAGTGTGAGAGAAAGGACACGCCAGCATAAACAAAAGTGAATTTTACTCCAAACCTGCCAATTCTCTCTCCGCACTCTCCACGCCCGAGACCCTGAGTATATAGCTTCAAAAACGTGGTTTCTTCTAAGAAGTGTCTCTCACATTAAGCCACACATAAGCTCTCCTCTTATATCTCTCAATTACAACAGCCTCAACAATCGACTTGATGATGTATTGAATGATAAAAAAATCTATAATTTTGCTACTGCCAGTTGACTAGAACACGAATGTAAAGTGGAGTGAGACTCGATGTAGTGAGCTCTCTCCTCCAGTCGTTTGTCTCGATGCGGAGGAGGATGTACTTGAACCCAGCCTTTATAATTTAAGATAGAGCCCACTGTGCGACCAAAGGAGGCACCGTGCAAAACTCTCCGTAACAATTCAGGTATTTGAATGGCCCACTCCACGCCACCGAAAACGCCACACTTTAGCGGAGGAACGTGCATCGTGATCAGTATTCGAATATCCGACATAGAATGATGGTACGCGTGGAACCATCTCTCACACTTATCTGAACTGGAGCATATAAAAATAGTGTCAGAAATCTGAAATTGACGTTAATTTGTAATCGGCGTATGATGCAGTCATTGTGTGTGCTTGAGACAATAATTAATACATACTCTCATCAAGATTATATTGAACACTAATATATATATATATACATGAAACTCACACTCCACTCTTTCAAGTGTTACATTCCAATAATAACTTAAGGTTTCTAATTGATTATAGATTTCCCATTTATGCTTTCATTTCCAGTTGGGTTGCTAAGTTTTATCCAATAAGTAAATTGCATCAAATAATTACTTAAAGTATTTACGGGGCAATACACTGAGTATACGGTTGCTGCCATATTGTCACATGTTAAGCCCAGGAATGTGATCAAAAATCTAATACTGTTTTGTGACCATTGATATTCAATGCAACATCATTTTATGATGTGGCAAAGTCTAGCAATGGATAGAACAAGAAAGATGCAGGAGAGTTAAGATGGGGTAAAAGCAGAACAATATGGACAACTGTTCCCAGTTGTGAGATATAGATCTTTTTTGTAGATAAATATATTAAAAATGGCTAGAAATTCATGGTCATCCATTGCCATGAGTGGAAAAATATCAAGTAGCGGAAGTACAAAATGAGAAAGAATGTATACAAAGCAACGAGCCTGACTAGTCATAAATATTTCTTTTGAACACACAGGATGATCAAAATAACACTTGTATTTAACTCAGTTCCATCTTTGTACTCACTGGGATATCTGAAGTAGAAGTCATTTTTCAATGTCGCTAGTGATGTTGTGATCCTTTTTGTGCTCTATCCCTTTACGCGCATCCGACTCCTCATCATACACGGTATGAAAACTCCAAACAGTTATGATCATAGCAATCTTGCCAGACGAAGCAGACAGCCGGCAGACTAACACCACATTGGTGTTCTTTGCCGGCCGAAAAAATTTCTTCATAGCACTCACAACAGCTTCCCATGTTGATGATCTCTGCTGATGATGCTGCTCTGATCACTCCTCAGCTGGGTTCTCCCATCTCTCTACTCTGCTGTTCATTGGCAGCAGTATCTCAGCAGGTATTTATAGAGGCTTTTAGAGAGGTGTGGCATTTCACCCTTTACACACTCAAGGGGTGGGGACACCTTACTGTAAGCATGTAAACCACTCCTTATCTTGTAAGCCTGTTATCATAACCAGACCAAACTACAAAAAATGGAAAATTCTCCTACAGCAGATAGCACAGCAGGAAATAAATAAATGCTTGCAAATATGCGATGGGAATGACCACAGTACAGCAAGTGCAGTGGGCAATGACTTTGATATGGAATTATTTTTGTGATATGGCAACTTCTAGCAGTTAAAACAAAATGTTCACATTTGCCAGGCGGTCAGCACAATCAGAAAACACAGTAGGTATCAGGCCTCAGTGTAACGGTAACTATATGCTGCTCCAGAATCCAGCACCTGGAATAACTGTTGAGATAATCTCTTGCTACGACTGTTCATATTGCCTGTGCTGATCACGAAAAATGATTTTGGAGTATTTCAGCTAATGTACTCTGTGGAGAGTAATGAACTGCCTCTTGAGTGAACACACCTGTCAGTCAGGCTTGCAAGCCATCGCAGTGCTGCATTCTGAATTTATGTGTGGTAACTTAGAAGACATGGCAGTGTTTTTGAAAGAATTGGACAACTATATAAACAGCAACTTATCTTTTTATATTATTTTATATACGTTTAAAAAAGGAATCTTGTTTCTTGAGCATGAATTGTACATTTCCAGTTTTTAAATGGAGCCATAGATTTATTCTCAAATAACCACTGAGCCTCTCCCAATTGTTTCCTTCGTCCACCTCTGCTGAAGACAAGAGACGTCGTGATATCAGACAGTGACAGAAAATAAATATAGTATGAGCCAAAATAGACTGATGGTTCAATAATGAACAAATTTGTGCGAAGACACCTCTGAAGCACTGCATATAATAGCTGCAAAGAGTTATTTACAGTTGTTAAGAGTTGTTACATATAAAGTAACTAAACTAAGCCTGTCTATAAAATATAAAATAAACCACAAGGCATTGTCCACTCAGTATCACATGCTCGTTCTTTATTTGTGTCCTTCACTTACAAATCATGTGTACTTTTGTTCCTGTTTTATTTTCCAATCTTGATGATTATTCTCACATAGAGATTCCAGTTTTAAGGATTCATCATATGTTGTGTTTGGTGCTCCTCTTGTGTCACTGTCACACAAGAACTTCCAGATGATATCTGTTTTCCTTTCTTTCAACACACTCAGCAAACTCATTATGTAACATATTGTATTGTTGATTCGCCCTCCTTTGATAATATCACAGGATGTGCTCAAGAGTCAAACTATGATTTACAGCATTATTCCAATTCAACTTTAATACAATCTTTAATTTAATTTGTACATATTTGCCATATCAGTGCATTGTATTACTGTGCCCACAGCAATGGGCTCTCCAAAAACAAAAAACAGGCTTGAGATCCTGAAAGATGTAAGAGACAGAATACAAGGATTTTAGTAAGGACAGTCATTTTTCATTATATATATTATTTATTGAATATTTTTTAGCTTAAAAAACATATAAAACATATTTGGCATTCGATTTTAGGACAGCTGGAGTTGTTCGCTTGCTTTACGGCATGTTTTCACTGTGTTAGGTTGTATACTGACTGTTTGCTGGTGTTTCAGCTAACAAGTAATGCATTGAATAATACAACTAACTCACCCTATCAAATTACCCAATCGAATCAAACCACTGATCTACAGATTTCACTAAATTATGTTGTTTTTTGTTCCATTGAGATTGTAACCTCTTTTCAAGAGAAGGACTCGTCTACCAAGAAAATACACTAAACAGTTATAATACAAGGCAATAAATAATAAATTCACCAAAAAAAGTTACATTAGTTTTATATTAAGAAAAACAATTACTACTGGAACTGCAAATAATTAAGATATACTGGAGTCCTTTACTGTAAAATTCCATAAGTGAATAAAAAAGATTTTAGTTCCATTCTTTCATGTCAGCACAAGAGGAAAGTTTCTATGTAGTATAGCAATATTAGGACAACAAGCAATGCAAGGTCTATTACAAACAAGAGCATCTCACACGGCATAAAAATACATTCAAAAATAAACATTAAGAAGACAATTAAATGACTTGTACTATAATCAAATATAAACCAAACCAAAGGCAACACAAAGCAAATAAATAGTTAATAATATAAAAAGAGTATAAAAAGGTATTTAAAAAGTTGATTTATTGAAAAGCAAACAAAATGTTTTAAGCCCTGATTTAAATATGAAGTGTCTCTCGTGATGCTTTGCATGACAGTACGTAAATCAGAATCCTTTTGGTCTGAGTCAGTCCATTTTGAGTTCTGTAGATACCTGAACCATTCTTCCAAGCTCAGTTTGAACATGTGCTAAAACCTATAGCTTTTGTTAAAACTCCATGATGATCTTTATATGTAAGATGCAAAGCAAAATGTATCCCTTAAAAACAAAGGTCTAATCGCTGGTTACAAACTGTCTTACCAGATGAAACCAGTGTTCAACCAAACAAGGCTGAATAATTTAATTTTAAGCACACGGCCGACTTCTCAGGGTGGCACACAGAGAGGAAGAGTGGTTAGGTAAGGTTAAAACACTGTCACAGGAAGTGTACCCTCAACAAAAAGTTCTGCCTTTAAGGAGACACAATTAGTAGAATTGCATAATAACGCTGCAGAAATCACTGCAGGGAATGATCACACTCTTTCTAAGATAAATACATAGATAGAAATTATTTTTCACGAAGGAAATGCACCACATAAGTTGGCGCACCAATAGACGTTGAAGTGATAAATGTTGATCCACTCAACTTAAATAGATGCTGAAATCGATTACCAATGTCACACTTACATTATTTCAGACCTGGAGTTAAACATGCTGACAGCGGGGCAGAGTATGGGCAGGCTTCATATCTTATCAGCTCTTAAAGGTGCATTTCCTATGAGTCTATGCTTGCTTCAGGCCAACACCAGAGCCTGGAACAATGCCGCTGGAGATATTTATGATCTCCTGTCTATCTACAGGTAAGTGAGACACAGGATCCAGTGCATTTTGCACTGCTATTCAAACAACGAAAGCTTTTCAGCTTTTTCGCTTTTTTCTTTGCTCATGTAGATATTGTCTGAAAAACTACAGTAACTTGGCCAATCCAGTCAGGCCTGCCGTCTGACATCGCTTACAGTTCGAGTGTAGAACACCACAGAAAAAAGATAAAAGGAAAAAACTGACCACAGAACAGCCTAAATTTGAACTGTACACGGTGTAACAAAATAATACAATATTATCAAATATTTTTCAGATATATTGTTTATTGTATTATCACAAACGACTGTTTTTAAACACCCTCCTCCCGGAATCTGCATGAGTTGTTGTCGTCCTCAGAAAACCTCTGAAGATTCCTTCCACTTTTTTGTTGACCATATTGTGATGATCAGCCTTTCCTATGACCTCGTTCCTTTTACTGTTCACCTGAGCTCACTTGTTTTTAGCTAGTTTGAGCTTGTCTCTTTTAAGGGAAAATTTTTAGGTCATATAAACATTACTCCCAAGACTCTCGCCTTTGTTAAGAGATTTTTGAGGACTGTTGGACCAACAAACATCCAAATAAATACATGAATAGCCAGTCTCGCTTCAGGTGTCGTGTTGTACCAGCAAAATTTTTAAGTATACAGTTGTGCAGACCACTGACTGCAATCCAATCCGCACACCTCAGTCCTCTACAATTTTAGACATAAAACCAAAATGTATTCTTTTAAAAAAATGTTTCAGAGAAAGTTTATTTTAATAACAATTGCAATCTTTATTTATATAACAATGTCTAGTGCTGATCTCTGAAATTTGCATCTTTACAAACTTTAAATTAAACAGAAAGTCTTTTCTTCAGCCTGTGGTGACTCTGTATCCTCCCTCAGGGCCTGCATCCATTATGTGGAGTTCCTCAGGGTACTATTCTGGGGACAATCCTCACCCCTTTGGGTTCATTCCTTACTAAAATATGCCCATCATTGTTATTGTTGCTATGGTTCTTAATGTATTTTTATATTCTATGTCTATTTAAATGAGTTTTTGTGGTTTTTTGGGGGTTATTTTTGGGAGGCGGTTTTTTCTATTTTGGTTGGTACATCAAAAGCTGTTCGTTGTTAAATGAGCTTCATGAATACAATTTTAACTTAACAGTTTTCAAAGCTTGAAAAGTGAAAAGGCATCAAATCTTAATTGCTTGCCTTCTTAGTATGACTGTGGGCAAAACCTTTTTCTTTGGAATATTAGCTTTCATCATTCAGCTCTATAAATTTTCTATTGTGCAATTATGCGCTGATACAAAAAGGCAAGCCAGCCCAATTATGATGAAATAATCTTCTTACTGCAGATAGCACATAAAACTCTCACTCTTTTTCCTCAAGATGATGTTGCACAGAAATAAAATGCAGTGTTAAGTGTTGCCACTTTCATATAAATTTTTTCCGGTCTTTTTTGTTTGGGGGAGTATAAAAATTTTTTTTTTGACACTGTTTTTTGTGACATTGATTCTTATGTTATGTTTTTTCTTATTTAATATTATCAAAATATTATAATATTTTGGTAGGAGACATTTCCTTTCAACAGAAATAAAACTAGAAATAAAAATGATCATGTCTCTGGATCACTTTACAATAATCCCTGGAACAGATCGCTTGATAGGGAAACATTACTGTTTTGCTGAGTCTGATACACAACACATTTTTCAAACTCACCAACAATTGCACCTCCAACCAGTCCAAATGCAATTGCCACACATGCGCCAGCAGCCTGGAAGCCTCCCTGTGTTCCTACGGATCTGTTTGCAAAATCGCCTTTAAAGTCAAATGTGTTCCTCAACCTAGAAAGGAAGAAAAAAAAAATTAAGACAGTCCTTGCAAGGTCAAGTTCATTTACAATTAATTAAAACAGCAGAAAGTACTTTAACCGTAAAAAAAAAACTAAAAAAAAACAAACAATTAGACTAAGACAAAGTCGCGTGGGTGACAGTTTCCATTTGTTATGTTGGAGTCGGTAAACAGGCAAGGTATGGCTTTCTGAATTTCAAGCTGTATGTGTGTTTGTGTCACTTACCCCTCTGCACTGTAGACAGATTCAGTGGCAGCTGCAGCAACGATGGCACCTACGAAGCCACCAAGCATCCCAGGCAAAGCATGCAGGTTGTGGACACCACAGGTATCCTGGAGCTTGAGATATTTCTCTAAGAAGGGCTGAGAATGAGAAAACCAGTTATACGTTAATTAGATGTCTGTAACCAGGCCAGAGCCGTGAACTTAACAACACTGAAGTCATAAGTCCAAATTCAAGTGGACAGTGAACGCTTTTAAACTGAGTCATCAGCTCTTGTAACACTGTTATTTTCCTGGAAAACAACTACAACTTGTTTCAGTTAGACTCCTTTTCATTCTGCCTCCTTCATGTTGCTTGATTCATATTTATGCCACCTTTTTTCTCCCCTTCCTCATTTACTTTTCTGCAGTGACAGCGCCACAGCACAGACTTCAAGATCAGAATTTTAGAAGGTGAAATACTGCAGGCTCACCGAGACAAACAAGTAGCCAAAGGTGGAGATGATGCCACTGCAGAAACCCACAATGAGTGAACCATAAGGAGTGATCATGAACTCTGCTGCTGTTCCCATGGCAACACCACCAGCCAGAGTGGCATTCTGGATATGCACCTGTCAGGTAAAAGGGCATGTTAGTCATGAGAGATTGAGAAATACATGAACGTTCCATAACTAGTTTTTGAGTTATTGAGTAACTGTCATGTGCTCATGTTTTTCTGGGTCTTTTTTTCTGTGTTTTTTAGCAATACAGCATTACCATGTCCAGTTTTCCTCTCTTCTGAGACATGCTGGAGATGGCCACAGTCGTGAGCACAGAGGATGCGAGTGCGATGTAGGTGTTAATGGCTGCTCTGTGCTGTCCATCACCATGGTCTGTGATGGCTGAGTTGAAACTGGGCCAGAACATCCACAGGAACAGTGTACCTGTGAGGTGAGAGAACATCAATTAAACCCAAGCTGGTTTTTACAATCAAGCAAACACATCTGAATCTAGAATTTTAGATATGGCAGATGATAAGAAAATAAGAAGAAAATACTAACATGTGAGGTTAAACAGAGTGTAAAATATAAACCTCCGGTTACTCACCAATCATGGCAAACAAATCGGAGTGGTAGACAGATCCATCGAGCCGTTTGCTTTGGTGTAGGTTTGGTCGGTAGAGCACCCAGGAGATGGCCAAACCATAGTATCCTCCGAAGGCATGAATGACCATGGAGCCACCAGCATCTCTGCACTGTGGAAACATTAAGACTTAACTGTTATAGGTAGATACATACAGCAGCAATTGCAACATCTGAAGGAAAATTATCACTCCTTGGACAATTAATAATTAAGTTCCCCGTGGGATGATTATGTTTGGTGAGACTTACATGTAGGAGACTGAGGATGATGAATTCCTCCACAGCAAACAGTGTGATGCCAAATAAGGTGACAACCAACAGCTGGACAGGGCTTACTTTTCCCAGGAGGGCACCGTAGGCAATCAGAGAGCCGGCACAGCAGAAGTCTGCGTTGATCAGACTGTGGGGGGATGAGGACAAGAACATGGTCCAAATGACCAAATAGCAACAAACGATGCACAAATCACTGTGAGGAGTCAAAGTAAAGCTGGACTGGACAAAACTGGCAATTGCCCCAAGACCTCAGACCCCCACCTACCCCTGAAAATGTTGGTTGGTTTGAATTGCTGAATTGTTTTGTGGTATGCTGTAGTCACTGTACTCAAAAGACTACTCCACTTATTTAACATTGCATAACCTCAGACCTCAGGCAGTAAAAAGGAGCAGACTACAAAGGGAAGGTAAACTCACTTCTGTCACTCCACGCCCAGACCTAGAGTTCTTAAAGAATGTGGTTTCTTGTATGGGTTACATAACACGTGTGCATCCCTGCCTACATCAATTAAGCACATGATTGATGATGCTATTGATGATAAAAAATCTAATTTTGCTTGCAGTGAAGAGAGTCACCTCTCAACTCCGATGTAGATTTTTCCAGTGTTTGGGTCGAGGGAGTGGAACCAGCCTTGCATGAGAAGAGCCCACTGCAGACCAAAGGAGGCGATCAGGAAGTTGAAGCCCACACCACCGAAGCTGTAGCGTTTGAGGAAGGTCATGAGGTATCCGAATCCAACAAAGATCATGACGTGGACATCTTGGAAGCCTTGAGAGATGGCAATAAAACATTAGAATGATGAGTGTCAAGGTGTAATGGTATGAGGTGAGTTTGTGGAATAATTAAATAGAGCAACAGTTGAAAACAAAAATTCAGTTTTCTACTCACATGAATTAAATTATGTTAATTTAAATAATAACTTAAGGTTTCTAATTGATTATAGATTTCCCATTTATGCTTTCATTTCCAGTTGGGTGCTAAGATTTTATCAATAAGCAAATTGCAATCAAATAATTACTTAAAGTATTTACGGGCAATACACTGAGTATACGGTTGCTGCCATATTGTCACATGTAAGCCCAGGAATGTGATCAAAAATCTAATACTGTTTTGTGACCATTGATATTTCAATGCAACATCATTTTATGATGTGGCAAAGTCTAGCAGTGAACAGAAAACAAGAAAGATGCAGGAGAGTTAAGATGGGGTAAAGCAGATACAATATGGACAACTGTTCCAGTTGTGAGATATAGATCTTTTTTGTAGATAAATATTTCAAAAATGGCTAGAAATTCATGGTCATCCATTTGCCATGAGTGGAAAAATATCAAGTACGGAAGTACAAAATGAGAAAGAATGTATACAAGCAACAGCCCTGACTAGTCATAAATATTTCTTTTGAAACACACAGGATGATCAAAATAACACTTGTATTTAACTCAGTGTCCATCTTTGTACTCACTGGGATATCTGAAGTAGAAGTCATTTTCAATGTCGCTAGTGATGTTGTGATCCCTTTTGTGCTCTATCCATTTACGCGCATCCGACTCCTCATCATACCGGATGAAAACTCCAAACAGTATGATCATAGCAATCTGCCAGACGAAGCAGACAGCCGGCAGACTAACACGCACATTGGTGTTCTTTTGCCGGCCGAAAAAATTCTTCATGCACTCACAACAGCTTCCCATGTTGATGATCTCTGCTGATGATGCTCTGATCACTCCTCAGCTGGGTTCTCCCTCTCTCTCTCTGCTGTCATTGGCAGCAGTATCTCAGCAGGTATTTATAGAGGCTTTAGAGAGGTGTGGGCCCCATTTCACCCTTTCACACTCAAGGGGTGGGGACACCTTACCTGTAAGCATGTAAACCACTCCTTACTTGTAAGCCTGTTATCATAACCAGACCAAACTACAAAAAATGGAAAATTCCTCCTACAGCAGATAGCACAGCAGGAAATAAAATAAATGCTGCGAAATATGCGATGGGAATGACACAGTACAGCAAGTGCAGTGGGCATGACTTTGATATGGAATTATTTTTGTGATATGGCAACTTCTAGCAGTTAAAACAAAATGTTCACATTTGCCAGGCGGTCAGCACAATCAGAAAACACAGTAGGTATCAGGCCTCAGTGTAACGGTAACTATATGCTGCTCCAGAATCCAGCACCTGGAATAACTGTTGAGATAATCTCTTGCTACGACTGTTCAGTTGGTCCTGTGCTCGAAAATGATTTGGAGTATTCAGCTATGTACTCTGTGAGAGTAATGAACTGCTCTTGAGTGAACACACCTGTCAGTCAGGCTTGCAAGCCATCACGAGTGCTGCATTCTGAATTTATGTGTGGTAACTTAGAAGACATGGCAGTGTTTTTGAAAGAATTGGACAACTATATAACAGCAACTTATCTTTTTATATTATTTTATAACGTTTAAAAAAGGATCTGTTTCTTGAGCATGAATGTACATTTCCAGTTTTAAAGTGGAGCCATAGATTTATTCTGCAAATAACCACTGAGCCTCTCCATTGTTTCCTGTCCACCTCTGCCTGAAGACAAGAGACGTCGTGATATCAGACAGTGACAGAAAATAAATATCAGTATGAGCCAAAATGACTGATGGTTCAATATGAACAAATTTGTGCGAAGACACCTCTGAAGCACTGCATATAATAGCTGCAAAGAGTTATTACAGTTGTTAAGAGTTGTTACATAAAAGTAACTAAACTAAGCCTGTCTATAATATAAAATAAACCACAAGGCATTGTCCACTCAGTATCACATGCTCGTTCCTTATTTGTGTCCTTCACTTACAAATCATGTGTACTTTGTGTTCCTGTTTTATTTTCCAATCTTGATGATTATCTCACAATAGAGATTCCAGTTTAAGGATTCATCATATGTTGTGTTTGGTGCTCTCTTGTGTCACTGTCACACAAAGAACATTCCAGATGATATCTGTTTTCCTTCTTCAACACACTCAGCAAACTCATTATGTAACATATGTATTGTTGATTCGCCTCTTTGATAATATCACAGGATGTGCTCAAGAGTCAAACTATGATTTACAGCATTTATTCCAATTCAACTTTAATACAAACTTTAATTTAATTTGTACATATTTGCCATTATCATGTGCATTGTATTACTGTGCCCACAGCAATGGGTCTCCAAAAACAAAAAACAGGCTTGAGATCCCTGAAAGATGTAAGAGACAGAATACAAGGATTTTAGTAAGGACAGTCAATTTTCATTTATTGATTTATTTATTGAATATTTTTTAGCTTAAAAAACATATAAAACATATTTGGCATGCATTTTAGGACAGCTGGAGTTGTTGCCTTGGCTTTACGGGATGTTTTCACTGTGTTAGGTTGTACTGACTGTTGGCTGGTGTTTCAGCTACACAGTAATGGCATTTGAATAATACAACTAACTCACCTGAATCAAATTAACCCAATCGAATCAAACCACTGAGTCTACAGATTCACTAAATTATGTTTGTTTTTTGTCTCATTGAGATTGTAACCTCTTTTTCAAGAGAGACTCGTCTACAAGAAATAAACATAAACAGTTTAAATACAGGCACATACACATAAAATTCACACAAAAAAGTTACATTAGTTTTATATTAAGAAAAACAATTACTACTGGAACTGCAAATAATTAAGTATACTGGAGTCCTTTACTGTAAAATCCATAAGTGAAAAGAAAGATTTAAGTTCCATTTTTTTGCAGCACAAGGCAGGGAAAGTTTATGTATATAGCAATATTCAGACACAAGGCAATGCAAGGTGCTTTACACAGGCATAAAAATACATTCAAAATAAAACATTAAGAAGACATTAAAACTGTATTTACATGACAATGAAAACAGAAACAAAGGCAACACAAAGCAAATAAATAGTTAATAATTAAAAAGAGTTAAAAAGATTTTAAAAAGTTGATTTATTGAAAAGCAAACAAAAATGTTTTAAGCCCTGATTTAAATGAGCTTACAGAGGGTCTGGATGCTTTGCATCGTACAGTTAAATCAGAGATGCCTTTAGGTCTGAGTCCATTTTGCAGTTTGTAGTACCTGAAACCAGTTCTTCCAAGCTCAGTTTGAACATGTGCTAACCTATAGCTTTTGTTAAAACATCATGTGATCTTTATATGTAAGATGCAAAGCAAAATGTATCCCTTAAAACAAAGGTCTAATCGCTGGTTACAAACTGTCTACCAGATGAAACCAGTTCAACCAACAAAGGCTGAATAATTTAATTTTAAAGCACACGCCGACTTCTCAGGGTGGCACACAGAGGAGGAAGAGTGTTAGGTAAGGTTAAAACACTGTCACAGGAAGTGTACCCTCAAACAAAAAGTTCTGCCTTTAAGGGAACAATTAGTAGAATTGCATAATTAACGCTGCAGAAATCACTGCAGGGAATGATCACACTCTTTCTAAGATAAATACATAGAATAGAAATTATTTTCACGAAGGAAACTGCACAATAGTTGGCACCAATAGACGTGAAGTGAAATGTTGATCACTCAACTTAATAGATGCTGAAATGATACAATGTCACCTTAACATATTTCAGACCTGGAGTTAAACATGTGACAGGGGGGCAGTATGGAGGCTTCATATCTTATCAGCTTTAAGGCATTTCAGCAATGTTCTCTGTCACATGGTGTGGTATGCTCTGCCTTGGCCACACAGAGCCCTGGAACAATGCCGCTGGAGATATTATGATCTCCTGTCAATCTACAGGTAAGTGAGACACAGATCAGTGCATTGCAGCTATTCAAACAACAAAGCTTTTCAGCTTTCTTCCTTTTTCTTTGCTCATGTAGGAATTGTCTTGAAAAATACAGTAACTGTGGCATCCAGTCAGGCCTGCCGTCTGACATCGCTTACAGTTCGAGTGTAGAAACCACAGAAAAGGACTGAAAAAGGAAAAATGACGCACAAACAGCCTTAATTTGAACTGTACACGGTGTAAAAAATAATACAAATATTATCAAATATTTTTCAGATATTGTTTTATTGTAATTATCACAAACGACTGTTTTTAAACACCCTCCTCCCGAATCTGCATGTGTTGTTGTCTCCTCAGAAACCTCTGAAGAATTCCTCCACTTTTTTGTTGACAAGATTGTGATGATCAGCCTTTCCTATGACCTCGTCCTTTACTGTCACCTGCTCTGTTTTTAGCTAGTTTGAGTCTGTCTCTTTTAAGGGAAATTTTTGGTCATATGAAAACATATCCAAACTCTCGCCTTTGTAAAGAGATTTTTGAGACTGTTGGACCAAACATCCAAATAATCATGAATAGCAGTCTCGCTTCAGGTGTTGTACCAGCAAATTTTAAGTATACAGTTGTGCAACCACTGACTGAAATCCAATCCGCACACCTCAGTCCTCTACAATTTTAGACAAAAAACCAAAATGTTTCTTTAAAAAAAATGTTTCAGAGAAAGTTTTATTTAATACAATTGCAATCTTTATTATATATACATGTCCTAGTCTGATCTCTGAATTTGCACTTTAAAACTTTTTAAACAAGTTTTTCTCTCAGCTGTGGTGACTCTGTATCCTCCTCAGCGCCTCTCCATTGTGGAGTTCCTCAGGGTACTATTCTGGGGACAATCCTCACCCCTTTGGGTTCATTCCTATAAAATATGCCATCATTGTTATTGTTGCTATGGTCTTAATGTATTTTTTATTCTATTGTCTTTTAAACTGGTTTTGGGGTTTTTTGGGGGTTTTTTGGGGGGGTTTTTTCTATTTTGGTTGTACATCAAAGCTGTTGTTGTTAAATGAGCTTCATGAATACATTTGACTTAACAACTTTCAAAGCTTGAAAAGTGAAAAGGCATCAAATAATTGCTTCCTTCTAGTATGACTGAAAACCTGTTTTCTTTGGAATCAATTAGCTTCTCATCATTCAGCTCTATAATTTTCTATTGTGCAATCTATGCGGATACAAAAGGCAAGCCAATTATGTGAAATAGATCTTTACTGCAGAGCACATAAAATCATTGTTTTCTTAAGATGTGTTCACAGAAATAAAATGCATGTTAAGTGTTTGCCACTTTCATATAATCCGTCTGTGGAGTGTGACTAACTAGAAAAGCATTTCCTAGAACTCTGCAAGTACAGTTCATAACAGCACACAGAGTCAGATGCCAGAGATATGACAGCGTCAGGCAGTCGGCAGTTTCTTGGTGACAGAAAACTACTGCACACTCGTGAGGATGATTTGACACTCAGATAACCCTCAGCCACAGTGTTACAATCAGCAGAGGAGACAGAACTTTTACTTTGTCAAACAGCATCTTTGTCCCTCACATGTTTCACCATGCGACTCCAAGTTTGCGTACATGCAAATTGGTCTGGAGGTGTCACACGACCTCATGTGCCTCAGTCAGCCATACAGGTGACTTAGTCAACACATTTTACTACATTACAACAGTGTAATCACAGTTTTCATCTTTTATTCTTGGGTGTTTCTACACTAACAAACTTCATTTCAATTACATTTTATAATTTTGTGAATTGTAATTTTTTTCATAGAAATTTTCTGTAAATGTTTGTTTGAAATTGTTTGCTGTAAACTGTAGATTGTTGTACTGAAATAAATAACTAAAACCAAATTAATATTTGGTGGAAAGTCTAAGTTTGAACAACTGTTACAAAGAATTACTATTTCAAAAAAATCAACTTCAGGAGTTTATAATAGTGCATGTTTACAAACACTGATGCATATACAAGGAATTCATTTATGTGGTATAATTTTCTTGATATTTCTTGATTAAGTTGCAACTTTTGTTACAATGTGGACAAAATGCAGCAACTAGGATTCTTATATACTCATATGGGATCATGATTAAGTGGGTGGCATATTTTATTGAAATTTTACACAGTAAAATCCCATGTCTGACATGATATGCTTATTCTTTAACATCTTATTACAGCTCTCCACAGAAACCAACCAAAATTTTCAAACTCAATACTCATATCATTCCATCAAATGTAAATGTGTATCACTTAATACCCTTTGCCCACAATTTAGCCTTATATATCCGGTATTTTTGTGAACTTTGAGATCTCTACTAGAAGGCAAACTGAAGGTCTGTGCGTTTGAGCAATGTTTGGCTGCAAATGTGTCGACCTTTCTACTGGCAGGACTGTAGGATTGAAGAGTTAATTCCATCTGAGGTGATTTATTGCCTGAGTTCAGGTTTCTATTCTTTATTTTTTTTTTCAGTCAGGATGTGAGAAGCTGTTTGAGGATCCCCAGCTGGCCTAATTTGTATCACCATTAATACCTCTAAGCTATACCTCTGACACACTTTTCAGGTATACACATGAACGCTAATGAAACTCTGCAGAGATGTTTTGAGGCCACAGACTGGAATGTACTCTATGAGCCCCATAGAGACGACAAAAACTCCATGAAGGACAACATAACAAAAGTACATAAGCTTTTTTGTGGACAACACCATCCCCACCAGGTCAGTGCAATATTTCTGGATCTCTTCGTGGATCACCAGTGACCTGAGGGAGCTGCTGACCAGGAAGAGGAAAGCCTTCAGGGACGGGGACAGAGACCTACTGAAGAGCGTGCAGAGGGTCTTGAAAGTGAGACTTAGGTAAAGCAAAAGACTCTCACAGGAGGAGGCTGGTAAACAGCAAAACAATGCAAAGGATGGTATGAAGAAGATTACAGGCTTCAAGGCTAATCAGCCCGAAGGAAACCTGAACAGAGCCAATGAGCGAACATGTTTTTCAACAGGTTCAGCTGAACCCACATGCGTTTATGTAAGGGTATTCATTTTCATTCAGTAATTCCAGATTCCAGACCTATATTTATGGACTTCTTCCATTTAATAATGTATCTTGCCCATCGTGTCTCACAATCCATTTGTCTTTTTCTTTAACAATAACAGTCGGTTACCATTTTGTGATTTAACTGTGTGCCACCTAAAAATGAAATTAGGTCCAACCTTACAAAGTACTAACAAAAGCTCTGATTGGCTAGCTATCGAGCTCCTGCTGTTGTTTTCTCCTGCAAACTGCAGTGGACAGCATCATCATGCTGCTGCTGCTCTTTTGAACCTTATTTCATTTTATAGATGGCACGTCTGGCATGTCTATGAATATAAGCAATAATGAAATGGACAATGAATATAATATATAGTAAATAAGTAAGTAACATTACTTTTTCAATAATATAAGTAAATAAATACAATTAAACCTTCTATTTCCATATCCCATAATAAACAACCTCAAAGTTTTACATTTAGTCATAAATTGTGCTTATTTTTTGCAGTGCACATTTGCAAGAGTTTTCAAATAAAGCCCACAAAGGCCCTAGAAATAGAAGCAGCAGCAATACAGATTTATCTTTCCTCATCTTGTCTGGTCCCTGTCACTGTATCTGTGTGTACAAGACGTGTGTGAAATAAATGCACGGCACACAAGAGCGACAACTATAGCTTGTAATTGACTCATCCATTGATCCATTTGATCTTTTTTGAGATATTCATGAAGCCCTCTGAAATTTCACAAGTCACATTTTGTGAAAGTTTGTGGATTAACATCTTTTTATCATCCTTGTGTTTGACCATTTTACTTGTGGGTTTTGTTATTATGCATTTATCTTTTTTCTCCGTTCCTTGTACAGCATTTTATAACTTAAGAAAAATGTTATGGAAATATATATTTTTTCAGAAATAAATCATCACTGACATTGCCAGATGAAAATCTGGATGAAACAAATCTGTGGGGCATTTCTTATTTTTGAAATGCTGTATTAATGCTTAAAAAACTGATGAGATGTCTCTCTCTGAACCACTTATGTCACTTGACAGGGAAACATTGTGTCCCAGTCTGACAAAGCTGCTTCATACACATTGTCACATAAACTCATCAACAAACGAGATATTTAAGAACCTCTGATTAAATCAACAATGCACATGCAGGTAGAATAAAAATAATGCAGTCACAACTGTCAACTGAAGCAATGTAAGGAAACAAAATCAGACCTAAAATAAACATTAAATGGGTATAAATTTCTAATTTTTCCAATTAACCAATTTATCTGTCAGATTGTCTCAAACTAGAGCAAAATTGTTTTTGTTTTTTTAGAGAGGTATGAGCTCTTTATGTAATCTTCTACATTAATTTTTCGTTTTTTTTGGACTCCAATGCACTGTATTGGTGTTTATTTTTATGAAATGCAGGCTCCAGCATCACAAGACTCTCATGTGACAACTAAGAGTTACAGAACGTGCTCAACCGGTGAGGTGGTTTCAAGTACAACATGGTGGAGCAGTGTGTTCGAGGAGCTAAAATAAATTAATCATACATTCCTCCAGTCAGATGGGTAATGATGACAGCTGCCACACCTTTCTTATTACTAGGTGTCTACAGGATGTGTGTTTGACTCATCCCACCTGAGTTGGTCATCTGATATTTTTGGATTTCAAGTTTCACTTCTGTTCTGATACATTCAATTTTAAAGCAATACTTGGTGATCAGTCCATTTAGTAGTTTCACTAGTCTTAAAACCTTAATCATGTAAGCGTTAAGTGATGATACAGAAGTTGAGCAACAGCGTTGCCGTGCCAACAGTTTTACCTTTGCAATCAGCAAATTGCACTCTCCAAACCCACTGTGCTCAGAGCAAGAGCCTAAATTCCACAAGAGTTGAGGAGGAGGCGCTGGAGCGGTAAACCCCATCATCCTTCTGTTGTTATGGGAAACGTGAGGTTTCCTAGTGAAAAAAAAAAAGAACAAGTTTGGTGTAATTATAGAGACCAAGTGAGAACAACAATTATATAATCCCCGATATTCTGACACTGAGCCAAGGATATTCAGGGCCAGACAGCAACATCTATAGCATTGTCTGCAGAGATCTGTGTAACAACTCTGTGTAACCTCTCCATGACACCACACACCCACGCTGCCACCATGAGGTGTCATGTCAGTGTCACTCAACAATGTCACTTGCCTTGTCTCAACAAAATGTCTGGAACTCCGGGTGAATCTGATGCATCCGATTTGATGGGCTTCTGTTCTCTTCTCAGAGTCCTGAAAAACTTGAACTGAATGATGTTCGGCTATCTCTAGTCCAGCCGGTCGATATACAGTAAGAGTAGGTAAGAGCTGTGGTAGTCACCATACAGCAGGGAAAACATTTCACAAGACTACAAGTGCTTTAAACTGTCAAGTTGTTTTGGTAAAGATCTTCTTTACCACAATAAAATGTATTAACATGAGGCAAACAGCTAAATATCTATACCTGTTGTCAAGCAACAAGCTACAGGACCCCAGCAGGTCCCAACCAGGAAACAGTCAAATACATAACCCCCGGTAAACCGTAACTTTTTTACATTTCAGTCATGGATTAAAGAAATTAGATATAGCCTGTTGATCAGTGAGCTTTAAAGGTGTCTGCAGGTGGATTTTATTACAATCTGACAGAGCCAGACCAGCTGTTTCTACCTGTTTCTACTCGCTAGGCTAACCAGCTGATCATGTTAGTTTGCCAGTTTGCATCATCACATCTGCCTGTGGTTATTGATTCAATGATCTCACAGAATGATCACAGAAAAGTAGATGTTGATTCTTCATTGTTCTTCATTCTTCAACATTGTTTTCTTCATCCACACTAAAACGTTCTGCCAGCATATTATGATTTAACTCTACACCATTTTCAAAAAGGTTTTTGGTTGTGAATCACAGACTTGGTGTAGATGAAGTGTGGACCTACCCTCATCTTAACTTGTCAGGTTTCATCAGTCTAATTGTGCAGCTCAGCTTTGAACTGAATGTCAACAGGTCTATTGTTAACATGTTAACATCCATTTCAATTTAACATCAGTTGAGCATTCGTATGCCTGTAGTTAGCATATAGGCCACCTGTGGCATTTCAATGTGATATCATGTTTAAGTGGCATGTTGACAGTCTCATGTCAAGTGTCAATATTCAGCTCGTGGCATTTAGCATATTAGCTTGCATAAAGTTAGGATGATGACGGCTGAGGTTGAATTTGGTCCAATCAGAAAATCCAATATCCATTGAGTTATCCCATACAGATACTGCTACACTGCTATGAGCGCGGAGTGTGGAGTTAATATAAATACATCCTCACCACGTGCTCAGACGTCATTCACACAAACACATAATAGTCAGGAGCCTCCACCAGGCTGTGTGGGCTGCGAACTGAGTCAAGAGTACAAAAAATCATCATCATTTAGATCATGTGTCAAAGAATATATTATATTTTTTTTTATTTAAACAACACAATTGTAATTGTTTCCTTAACCAGAAACAACAAGAAACTTCAATGTTAATGTATAGCAGTAACAGCTGAACTATTATACCATAATGTCCTACAGTTTTAATTTTGTCAACTTCAGTGTAAAATTAACTTAGTTTTGAAGATAATCTTTCTTTGCTGAATTTAGTCGTCATAAATATTCTATCAAGAGTCAGCGATTCTGACATCATTGTCAAAAAACTAAACATTTATGTCAGTCTAACATATTAACATATTATATAAAATTGGTTGTCATGCTTTTCCATATTAATAATAAGCAAACCGAATACATTAGAAATGTTATGTAAATTGCTGGATAAGGTTACCAGAAGGGATGTGTCTTCCTTTAATGCCTCAAAAATATATTTTTTTTTATTTTTTTTTATTTTTTTAAAGTTAAAAAAAAAAAAAAAGGTTCTGACTCCTTTTCACACAGGATGTTGACTCAAATAGTGTTGTGCCTTGGCCATTAAAAAGAAAAGGTGTCCGTGCCAGGCAGGTGTCAATTAAATCTGTATAATGATGAAAAAAAAGAAGCTGCCTGCTGCATCTGGAAATGAAAGCAGTAAGAGTGAACCAAAACAGTAAAGTTATGGGTTTTAAACTAAAGCAATGAACTTAAATACTCTGAAACGCTGTCGAGCCAAGAGGAAATGCAGAGTTTTCGGTGGGTTTGTCACTATGAATGGCACCTTTCGCATTACAAATAGTAATTTTTTCTGTTGCTGAGGTACACATATTGATTGTTGAAGCTTTAATTGAAATTCCTGTGCAAAAAGGCCTGTCCTTTTATCTTAGATCATTTTTTGGCATCAAAGGTAGTCATGTGTCACCTTCCTGGAATCCCACAGGCTACTGACTTACAGAACTAAAGTAAGTCAATACTAATATTTCAATAACTAAAGTCCCCGACAGAAATGGCCTAAACTCAACTCTCAACTCAAACCTTATTGTCTTAATGTCAGTGTTGGCAGCCTCTGCAGTCCTCAGGAGGATGTCTCAGTTTAAAACATCTCTGTGGTTTCTTTGAGACAGATATAGGTGTTATGTTTCACTAGTTATGCTAATAACCTAGCACAGCATGTGTGTTTATGTTAGCACAAATTTGTTCTGTCTCAAAGAACACAGACATGTTGAAGACAACCTTCTGTTCTTGGTAGGAGGAGCAACGCAAAACAGACAATCGGGGCAAGAAGAGACAAGAAGAAACAAGAATGCTGCCACCAACTGGTATATATGCTGGATTTCAAAACTCTTTCTGAAGGAAAAATAAGCACACTACCAAACAACCAATCAAACTGACAGGAAAAAAAATCTACATGTCCTATCAACAGGCTTGCATTATGTAATTTTGTTGTATATAGCGCTGAGCTCAGCTCGAAGTTTCTTGAAAGACGGTCTGTTTTTGGCGTCGTACTGCCAGCAGCTGGTCATAATCCTGGAGATTTCCACAGGGCAGCTGTGAGGAGCAGGCATACGGTATCCTGAAACACATCACAGACAGTCAAAACAGGTACTGAGATCATCTTAGCACACTGTGCACATTTTCTGAAATGCAGAATTCAGAAAAGGCCTCAGTGTCAGAATCAAACACAATAGATGAACACAAACACGTTGACACTTTTATATGCCTGATATGAGCTTGTACCTCTCTCCACTTCGTCTCGTGTCTGTTGGTTGGTCATGCTCGTGTAGGGCGTCATTCCCATGGAGAAGGTCTCCCACAGTAAGACACCAAAGCTCCAGACGTCACTCTCTGTGGTATAGCGACCTGAAAACACCAGCAGGGGGCAGCAATGGCAAAGGCACAGACACAGGTCTTTGTCAGTTATTAACTGACTGTTTAGCAGACAGAAACAGGAGAAGTGTGTCTAGCTGTGACTGCAGGGCAGAGGAAATTGTGTCTTACCGTAGTTCAGGGCTTCAGGAGCCGTCCATTTGACAGGGATCTGTCTGAGGCCGCCCTCTGCAGAGTAGACACCATCATCTTGCTGACGGGACATCCCAAAGTCACTGATCTTCACCACACTGTGGTCTGCAACCAGACAGTTTCTTGCTGCCAAGTCCCTTAAAAAAAAGAGAAGAGGAAAAAGGATTTAAGAGGGATTTATAAAGAGGAAAAATGGAGAAAGTGACACAAAAATATTGTGCTTTGTATGGGGGAAAAAAAGAGAAACAGCAATAGAACAGACAGCCCTATAAAAGGAGTGGGGAAACAAGTGTTCTTGTCATGTCTCTGGTGTTGCATGTGAGGCAGTTAGGCATGCAGCGTTACAGGCTGAGCAGCTACCAGCAGCCTGCTGTGATCTGTACCCGCTGGGCAAATTGTACAGCGCCCCTGCAATGAGCCGGATGTCACAACCTCATGTCTTCTCTACGACAACCTCAACGGATGCCTCACCCTAAGCTCCCTTTTCGCTCCCACCCAACAACAGATGCCTTAAATCATGCATAAAGACCTATTTTAATTTACTCTATTTTCACCATAAAAATGATGTTGAATTTCACTTTTTTTTTCAGTATTTTTGATCCCAGCTTTTTCTCATTTTTCTTTCAGTACATGCATTGTTTGTAGGCTGCTAACAAAACCCCATATTTGATCTTTAAAACTGTGAGTTGTTTGTGTAGCTACAGTCAGGGTCGCCTTGTTAAAAATGAAAAATGAAGAATAAAAAAAAAGAACAGAGATCACAGCCAGTTCAGCATCCTTGCACTGGATTTCTGTCTCTTTTACAGCTTACAGATTTTAAAATCATATACCTAGTGAGTGTACAAGGCTCTGAATGGTTTAGCACCTCCATGTTAAGTTGACTATTAGGTAATCAAGCGCTACAGAGAAATATACAGAGGCAGCCCTTTCTTGCTCTAGACCAAAACTGTGAAATAACCTGTCCATCAATATCTGAACTGCAATTTTTGTAACTGTCTTTTCAAAGGTTTGATTGTATTTGAACATTTGTAGCTTTGTTCATTTAATTTTTTTTACTTTCTGCTCTGTTTTATTGTATTTTAAAGTGTTTCTTTGCAAACTTTCAATCATTTAATATTTTGAATGTGTTTTTAGTACAGCACTTTTAATGTATGAGAGTTGATATACAAATAGTGGAGAAGTCAGCAATTAATAAACAGATAATCGTGATATTCATATATACTCTCTGTATCTTTGCATTTTAACATTTGATCCTGAGTTATATTACTAGTACGGTCAATACTCTTTTTTTGTGGAATGAGCTCCGACTGGGGTAAAAACAGTAGTCACTACCCATCTTCTGCCACAGCCTGAAAACCTATTTTTTCACACTACATCCTAACACCACATTATTTCTTTTCAAAAGAGAGAGAGAGAGAAAGAAAACCCAGCACTTGCACTGTGGGTCTCTGAAAACTTGCTGATGTTTTTTTGGGGTAGTTCTAATTTTGGATGACATTTAGCTTGTTCATTTTGAGTTTGATCACACTTCTTGTAAGTCACTTCAGCAAAAATGAATGTAATGAATTCGTTCTTGAATTCATAGTTGTTCTGCCTTTTAATTTAAGTGAAAAACACTGTAGGTTTCTAGTTTCACCTTCAAGAACACCACAGCTATCGATTATTTAAGGAAACTCTTTTTCCCTCATTTTCAATTGACTGTTTGACTGCTACATCAATGTATGTGAACGTGCTGCTGGGAAAGTGCAGTTTGGTTAACAGTTAGGTGAAGTGAATGAGGTTTTTATCATGTATCATGAAGGCTAGAGATCAGTCTGCTGCAGCTTGATCCACGCTTGTACACACTTAGAAACTACATAGTACAGAATGTAAAATCAATATGTTATAATATGCAACAAATTCATTTTCCCTGGCACCATCGTTTGTGTAACATAGTGCACTGTGTTTTATGTGTTTCCTTAAATTCATGGTGGCTTTAGAGCCACCCCGTGTGTAAGGAGAGAGAATGACACTGCAGTGTATCAAACCAACAGTGAAACACGTTGTTGGGAATATTTAAGTGTGGGGATGTTTTGCCTAGTCTGGGGTTGAACACCTGCACCAAATTGACTACACCCTGACCGAGGAGAAGTGCCACTCCATTCTTCATAGATATGCTGTACCCTCTAGTTTGCATCTTTGTAGAGAGGGACTCATACTGCAGCAGGATAATGACCCCAAACAGACCAGAGAAAACCAAGGAGTCCTGACTGTCAAGGACTTTCCTTCACAGTCACCTGACCTCAACCCAATTGAACTTCTACTGATACTTGATACTTTTACTTGAAGACTGAGAAAGCCAAGCACTGTGTGACATCACAAGAAGCTCTGGGCAGCTTTGTGGATCGTGTGGGGATAACATGGGTCATCAGGTTTTGCACAAACTTGTGGAGTCCATGCCACCTTGAGTGCATACTGTCATTAAAGCAAAAGGGGGGGGCACACCAAATACTAAGATATTCTGAAATACATGTACATTTTTTGAAGGCTTTCATTTAGGTGCATATCACTTTGATGTTGTCTATGTTGACTATGTTTTGAATTAATAATTTGAATCTGCAAAATAACCAGTACAGCCACTAAAGCCTTCAAATAAATGTAAATGTAATTTAGCAGAGTTTAAGTGTAAACACTAATTATTATAATTATATAAAGAACAAGTACCTCAAAATTATACTTAGGTACAATGGGTAAATGTACTTAGTTACCTTCCGCCACTGGTCACCTCTAATTGCAAAACCATTTTGTATAAATGGTCAACTCCTTGATGCAAGTGTATGTGACTCAGAACATGTAAAGTCGCAATCTTACCTGTTCTTGATTTAGTGATGAGACAGAGTGCTGTAAACTGTATCGTGCCCACAAAGGGGGCTATACAAACACTGACAGACTGACTGACCAACCTGTGGATACACTTCTTGCTCTCCAGGTACTCCATGCCAGCTGCTACATTTTCTGTCATTTTGACCAACACCTTCGGCTTCAGACTGTGACCCTCATGCCGCAGGAAGGAGAGAAAATCACCACCTTATGAAATGCATACACACACACACACACACACACACACATACATATAGAGAGTGATGATGATGATGGAACAAAGTGGGGATCCAGTAATGGAACAATAAATCTTGAAGCTGTTGAGATATAAAGGTGTTGTCTATCATGATCATATTTACCTTGAACAAGCTCCATAATGATGTAGATGGGCTGTTTCTGAGTGCACACCCCTATCAGCTTCACAATGTTAGGATGGTCGTACTGCTTCAGGATCCTGGACAGCAAGGAGTACAGAGAGGTGTGTGTGTGTGTGTGTGTGTGTGTGTGTGTGTGTGTGTGTGTGTGTGTGTGTGTGTGTGTGTGTGTATGTACTAACCTGGCCTCCATCAGGAACTTACTCTTGTGCTCTGGGGCCAGGTTCTCTTTACAGGATTTCACAGCCACAGGAGTGTTATCAGAGCGTAATCGACCACTGTACACTTCTCCAAAGTTGCCCTGTGTGGTATCAACACCAACATGATCAGTTACAGTTTTTTTAAACTCTCTTTTCTCACTCATCAGAGTATGTATCTAATCCAGCACCGAATGATTCAAGATATGACAGTTCCACAGCTGGTTTTCTCTAAAATCAACAAATTTCTTGGTAAAATGTTACCATATGTGCACAATTTTATGACTGCAGATGAAATGGGTGATAAACATATACATCAATTCTAATAGTGGCTGTAGTTGTTCCTCTTGCCCATACTGACCATAAAGAGATCCCCTAACCAAAGCAATATCAATGTAAATGATGGAGGACAACATCTGCAGTACATCCGCTGTGTATAAATCATTTCCAAAGTTCAGTTGTAGTTAATATGAGACTTCAGCTGTCTGAATTATACAAACCTTCCACAGTAACAGCCTTTTAGTACAAAATTCCCTCTTTGTTTTTCCAAGGGCAGTGTTTGCTTGCTGAGCCACAACAGAGGGATAGTAACCAAAAGACTGTAACTTTCCAAGATACCCACTTTATTTGAATAATTCAAACTGCTGAAGTCTCATAATAGCTTAGGGCTAAACTATATAATACATTTTTTCTTAAGACAAGAACTTTGCATTTTGTCCCCACTTACACTGAAATCATTTTAAGACAAGATCTCTTATGGAGAGGAGAACTTCATCAAGTATTAATTTAAGACAAACCAGAAAACATGTGAATCCATAATTTAAACTGGCAATAATGTCTTCAAAAGACTGTTGTTTTTTTTGTTTGTTTTGTTCTTTTAACTGATTGAATTGTATTAATATGACTCACTGTGCAGGTCTTCCTTGCACTGTGGCCATAAAGTCTCGTGCAAATATGTTCGCATTATTTTGAGATGACAAACACATGGACACATTACCCATGGCTAACTCTGTTAATAGGCATAATAAAAAGCAATGAATTAAAAATAAAATGTTTGATTTTGTTCATTTCTGCATTTCTGTCAACAGATGCCAAGCTTACCCACCCGTCCAATGAGCTGTCCCAAGATAATATCATCATGTTCCAGGACCCACTTGTCCTAATGGGGTTAAAAATTAACAATAGGAGACACATATTAGTACAGGTCTAACAAGTTAAAAAGCATAATCTACAGAGAGAGTGTGCGTGCGTGCGTGCGTGCGTGCGTGCGTGCGTGCGTGCGTGCGTGCGTGCGTGCGTGCGTGCGTGCGTGTTGCAGCAATACCTTCAGTACAGGCTTCTTCAGCACTATGTCAGCCCTCTTGGTGATGTGTTGTCGTGACGATAGTAAATGATGGATCAGCAGTGGGATACTGTGGAAGCCTTGTCCATCCAGACGGTACAGATTCTACTGACACACATGGAAAAACATTTAAAAGGAGTTAACTGATGTTCAAAGATGACCAAAATATAAATTTTGTATTCATTCATCTAAACTTCTGTTTAATTTGTAGGAAATAACATCATGTACAAAATAGCCACAAAATGTACATATTCTCAAAACTTCCACTCATGTGAATGAAATTGGGAAGGAAATAGTTAATCTATCACCATCATCTCTTTATCTACATAAATATACACCACATATGAAGTAAACTGTACCTCTATAACTCTAACTAACAAAAGCTTTCTGTTGCTTTAAGTCGGTTTACTTACATCCGTGTTCTGAATAAGAAAATGCTTGCTGGATCCATCCCATTGCACAGAGAGCACATAACCCTGTTTCTCTTGACTCTTCCTCACCAAGAAGTCTCCATCACTCTTCAGCAGCTGCTGGACCTCCAGTCTGGGAATGGCTCCGTGGTACCAGTCCTGCTGCCCCAGGGGACGATCCACCTCCTGCACCGGGCTGAGAACCGGAAGAACCTGAAGGCAAGAACAGAGAAAAGCAGAATCTTTAAAGCTGACATGAATAATGAAACAATAAGAAGTGATAGAGGTTGGGTTTTAGGACAATTCTGCAGAGATTATATGGAGATACTTCAAAGAAGAATCTGTATTACTTTAAAGTCTAACTGCACCACCCTTCATGCCTCCAGGATACCACAGAGTTGGGAGTTGGAGGGAGAAGGGGTTCACACTTCAAATAATTTAGGCTTGAAATCCAACACATTATAAACATTAAAACATTATTTGCTCAACACGATCTTTTACAGCATGTGTGCAGTCCTTTTTAATTTTCTGACAGATCAAAAACTGAAAGAATGACTGCACAAAGCCTTTTCCTGTTGAGAGTTTGTGTGCAGGACAGCTGGGTCATAGCTTCCTGTGTACTATCATCTGTCAGCAATGATAAAGCGATGAAATGTAAACCAGCTGCATGAGAAGTAAACTTAGTTTTAGGTCAGGCAGAATTTCAAAAGTAGTAACTTGACCGACAAAGCTACCCTCAATAAGTCCCATGGTGCCTTCACAAGCAGGAGACCCCAAAGAAAGATCATGTGCCTGAGTGAGCTCAACAGCACAGAGGATACATTTTGAAACTCGGGCACTTTCACCAAAACATGATGAATTGTTTGTTGTGCAGCAAGAGGTCTGAGTGTGGAAAAGCCTGTGCTGCGGTTAGAGTTAAGAGCGAGAGGGTGTTAGACTGAAGAGGGGAAGTGTCCTTCAGTTGAAACAATTGTACTTCCTGTTGAAGTATTCTTCAGCAACACATAAAGAAATAGATAGACTATATTGTTTAGGGTGTACAACGTGATGGCACACAGTTTTATTATAACCAGCACTACTCTACCAATCATTGTTTGGTGTGTAATTATTGTAATTGTTTAACATACCTCACATTTAGGTTTGAACAGGCCACTGAGATTGTTTATGATCCCCTCCATGAGGACTTTGGAAGAAGGGTGGCTGTGGTCCTGAAAAAAAAAAAAAAAAAAAGATCAAGAGCACATCATGACAATGCAAAAGTGTCCACACTTCCCTCCTTCCTTGCATCTCTCCACTATTACTATCAAAGTAAAAGCAAAAAATGCCAACAAAAGCAATATTTGAAAAGTTACAATAAAATCATTTTGGCAGGTCCAGCCACAAAGAGCTGTTTAGTGGTAAAGAGAGCAGGGCGATGATTACAGGCGAACTTACTCTTTCAAAAAGCTACAGGAATAGCTGCAGTACAAAACAAGTGTGTGGAGAAAAGTAACATGAGTTGGATGAAAGTCATTCTTAAGTCACAAATTTGGTGACTTTGGTCTCAACTTGACAAACAAGACTAAGAGTCTACAGCCACAAGCTCTGTGAAGCTTTACATATAGGCACAGCAACACTTTGAGCTACATGCTAATGCCAGCGTGCTAAGTAGCTCAGTACTGATTTTAAGTAAGTATAAAGTTTATACCATGGTCTGTTATTAATGGTTGTCAGTACAATTAGCCTGATGATGCTGCTGTTGCTAATTCCATGATGAGTTGTTTAAGGTCTAAGATATAGACTAACTTCAGGACTTGGAATTGACTTGGAACTTACCCAAGACTTGTGACTTGCAATGAATCTGTCCCACTTCTGGTGCACACGTTGTGGAAATAGAGTTGTAAAAATTGCCATACTCTCATACTGTTTGATAAGGTTTAGAGTTTGTTTGTTTATACCAGACATGACATCTTTGTAGTTGATACCAACAATAGTTTCAGTTGTCCATGATCCAACACGACATCTTCCTTCCTCATGCCATCACTTGTTTTTGAGTTTAAATGCTACACCCAACCCATTTGCATCTGGCTGACTGACAGGACTAATTTGATGAGGAGCTAAAACAAAAGACAAAGGAAGGAAAGCCTGTGGCAGGGAGAACATACATTGCTTGAGATGGATGAAAGTGAAACAGTCTCTGGGTCCAGTGTCAGAGCAGAGGGAGGTTCTTTGGAGCCCAGCTGCTCCAGTTTCTTCTTCAGAATAACTCTCTGAGTCTCCAGCTTGGCTCTCACGCCCTGAGACAGAGCGACCTGCTGCCGGCACTCCTCCAGTGCATGTCTCTTGCTGAACTGGTAGACCCTGGACAATACAGAAAGCAGCTGTACGTAAGTAAAGGTAATTTCAATTTGTATAGGACCTCATCAGCTTGAGCGACACAAAGGGATGAGCAAGTCAATAAAACACCATAAGTGACACAATAAGACAGTACAAGAGCCCTAGAAGTCCTCGGGGCAGCCGTCTACTTTGAGTAGCTGATAATGCAGCTCTGGGGCAGTGTGATTCAGTGGTTTGAAAGCTAAAAAGAACAACAAAAAACTACTAATAGACCTTGTAATGAGATTGTTTTGTCAACCGGATAGAACAGGCCAAATGCTGATATGCTATTGCTTGACCAGATTTCTGAACGCACCAATCAAACAGAAGAAAGCTTTTGAAATGATATCAGAATGATGGTGAGTAGGAACCACAGAAGCAAGTGTACTCAGTCTGAATTTTCCTCAGGTAATCACATTCTCAGCTACAGTAGGTCACACTTGGTCAACCTAACCCAGACTGTCACAGTCAATTTATAAAATGTTTCTTCAAAATTCAGACCAAAGGGCGGCATAACCTCCACTCACCTCACTAACACCACCACCACCATATGTGTTCTCCGGCTGCCCTTTCAAGTTATCCACCTTTTGCAAACACATTGCTTCCAGTTGTCCTCCAGGAGTTTGTTAATGACTCGATCACTCCCACAGGACTGTAAACCTCTAACACCTTCAGACAGCCTCATCAACCAAGACAAATGAGGGGTCGAGCTCCATAACTCTGACCATATAGCTGTATTATAATTCATAAGGCACTTACTGCCCCCTGAGACCACACTGGTTATTAGCTGTTGCCCAACCAAGAGCACAGTGAACTCTCCCGACGGAAAGGACTGCCCACAGAGACAAACTTCGGTAATTTGTCCTCACAACAACCAAAGGCTGTGTGTTTTTTATTTTGAAACCTCCTCGATAACCTCTGAATACAACATCAGTGTCACTTATTCTGGCTGATATCTGTGGTCCGCTCACCTCTGGCCTTTTTTGACACCCTCCTGCTCGGCCTCCAGCTCCAGCTCCAGCTGTTCAACCGAGGTCTGCTGGGAGCCCAGAGTCCGAGCCAGGTCCAGCAGCTCCTCCTCTACCGCAGTCAGTCTGGGGGAAGAGGACAGTAAAATAGCATGGGGAGAGGAAGTAATTGATGCACAACAGTCAGAGGAAATAGGTGGCGGGCAGAACAGGGGAGGGGTATGAGGAGGAAGTAGTTGATAGTAAAGAAGGAAATTGGAGTCTAGTCATCTGGTGTGTTTGCTCTCACTTGTGCTGGACTGTCTCAAGCGTGAGGTCGTTCAGCTCGATATCTCTGGGGTTTAGCTGCTCAGTGTCCTCCAGAAGGCTACAGTCAAACTCTGCACAAGCAGGAATCTCCCCTACAGACCTACAAACACACACACACATACACACACAGTTCATTGCATCATCGCTCTGCAGGGTGGGATGTCATGATTTGCATAGAGGACATCTGAGAGGAAAAGTTTGCCTGTTCTGGTGAATGAAGCTCTCATATTCTCTGTGAGGATCGATGGCCGTTAGAGCCAAAGATATCTCTCTGTGGATCCGCACCACTTCATGATGAAGGAACGTGGAGATGTCGAAATACTCCTGCAGGATCTCCTTTCTGGTTCAGAGGTGCAGGCAGGGCACATGAAAAACATGCGTCACACATGATGCACAGTGATGTTGGCCAGTTCATTGATTTCAAGGACTGTTTTGTAAGATCTAGCTAAATCCAAACTACATTTTCAGTACTGCTCTTTTCCAAAGCATAAGGTTGGTTGGCTGCAGGTTGATTCATATCAGTGCTACTTTGAGAGAATAGCCTGAGACAAGCAGTAAATATTTAGATGCTTTAACCTTTTGTCAAATTTGAGTTATTATTGCTTGGCATTTAAGATCCGACCCCTGAATGTCAAACATTTACTACATAACGCTTCCAACTTCAGATCATTCATTTCACTGTTTCACTTCTTGTTTCTCCTTTTGAAACCTTTTCTTGAATACAAAAACGAGGAATAGCTGTTAAAACAGTCATAAACAGTCACTGCTCTCGACAGCATGTCCAAATATTATTCATACAAAGCAAGTGGAAAATAAATACAGCTAGATGTTGGCTGTAATGCATCAGCTCAGGCATATTTCAAGTCTGTGCAAGTTGATTTTGCACAGAGTTCTTATGATAATTAAAACAAATGGCTGAAAATTAAAGGACCTTGTCAGTTTTAATGCGTCATCATTTTCTCACATACACACACACACACACACAGCCAGTCTTATATCCACTCTGTAGTGTATTTGGTCTTACAGTATGAGCACCATCTCCTGCTGCAGTGTCTGCAGTGCGCTGAGCAGGGCAGGCTGGATCTGACTGTAGTGGTGCTGATGGTAAACCTGGGCAGCTTGCACAGACAGGACGTACTCATTATGCAGCTCGTGGAGTCTCAGTGTTGTTTTTATGTAACGCTCTTTAGCCTTGTCTCGCTCTTTATCTGTTACAGGAAGTGGAAGACACATTATGTGATGAATACACATTTCAGAGTTAAACAGTACAGGTTATTTAAATAGCCCAGTGTCACAATCACAAATTTGCATACAACACTCTCTGTTCTCAGACACCGTGTGAGAAAAAAACTATCCACAAAAGCGACAACAAAAAACAAAACAAAAACAAAGCTAGACTGTGCCATCAGTGTGAAAGTGTTCAGAGAAGTACGTTATACCAGGAATTCCCACCTTTATTGGCCTCCTGATACTTCCTCTTAGCCTGCGCTGCATCTCTCGCTGCCTGTCTGTAGCTGCTCTTCAGCCTCTCCAGCTCTGTTTGTGTCACCTGAAGCATCACACAGACGCACAACAGCATCTTTTACAGCACACATCCAGGTGGAAAATATACGGTGCAAGAAATGAGTGTGATTCAAAGGAGCTTTTTGTGTGTTAAAGACTGCCCTTCTTAGTGAGAGCACTACTTGACACAGGAAGTGGACAGAGACCATGGTATGTTTCACGGCAGAGGAACACGAAACATGAGAGAAGACATATGAGGAAATGGTCTGACCTTTGCTGTGTAGCTGCTGCCAATACTTAAACCTCCACCTGCCAGCAACTCTGACATTGCTGTTCAGTTGCTATCACAACATGAAATGTTATCTGTATAACAGTGATGTACACAAAATCAGAGCTGCCGGAGCATCGGCTGCACGGCGAAGTAAAAAAATTCAAATAAATAAACTGAATGCCAAACGGCAAAACTGCAACCCAATATGGATAACTGAAAATGAACACATCATTTGCCTGATGTAATTGGGTAATAAAAACAGTGTGGAGCAGCCACCAGTTTGAGATCCCATCAAAATGCATTTGCACATATTCTTTCCAGTCTATTGAACCTCATTTCAATTGACTGCTGTCTGTTTATAAAGCTGCCACTGCAGTGCTCATCTGCATGTGAAGATGATGCACTGGAGAAAACAAGCAACAACTTCTGCCTCTTGTACGAGTCATGTCATGTACATAAACTCTACCACTACTAATATCACTATTTCATACACATAATGTGTCATTTACACAGTTCTCTTTCATTTTAAAATGATGAAAGCATTCAGAAAAAGAAACACTGGAGTCTTTGTGTGCAAGAGTAGTTGCAAAAGAAACAAGACATTGCTTCATAACATCTGAGATGCACTTTTTTTTTCAAATATATCAGTGTTTAGAAAAAGTAAACATTGTGTGCACTTTCAAAAAGCAAAATATAACAGTATCCGTCCATAACACAGCAAATATGTAGTGTGAGCAGTGAGAGGTTTTATCACAGTCGGACGTCAGACTGTTCAGAGGTGGTTCTGGCATGATAGTTGCAGTTTGTATGTAGTAGTGTATTTAAGTTTGTGTGTGTGTTAGTCACACACCTTGCTGAGCTCCTGCCTCAGTAGATTCCACTGCTCTGCGTAGGTTTTGCGGAGCTGCTGTTTGTCTCTGATGAGCAGTGTCAGTTTGCTGATGGGACCATCCAACAGATCCTCGGAGCGCTTCCTCATCACCTGGCTGAGAAAGTCCGTCTGAGAGACCAGCACTCCCCACGACTGACAGGCAGAGGGCAAAGGTCAGGGAGACAGGGCATTCAGACAGGAGACACTTAGTAAACCTCTGCTACCAAGGTTGCACAGTCCACCACAACCTGCATTTCAATCTGTGTGTTTGCGTCTTGGTCAGCGGACAAACTAGCAGGATCTTGGTGAAGATAGAGTCACCAACTAGTTACTTAAAGAATTAACCACCATTTTTTTTTATTTTCTCCATTCCTCTGACTAATTTATCAAAATTTTCACAACCATAGATAACATATTTCTGTTTATGTAATGTTTTCCTGTTACTGGTCGCCGTATTCATATGACTTAACATAGCCATAAATAGAAAACAGAGCAATTGCAACTACTTTTAGATAGTGTGTGCACACACCATATCAGTGCTTTCATTTATGGGTAGTGCTACAGCAACATAATCAATTTTTACTGTTTGTGACATTCTTGCACAGTCCATGTTGTGATGATCGAATATAGTTCTGAAATCCATACAGGTAAAAAAATTATTAAAGTGTCAATATTTAGAGGATTGTGCAGCCTTAGTGGAGGTATACTGTGTGTGCTCTCTGATCGGAGAATATGTTTAAACATTTAGATAATTTTTTACTATGTCAACCAGGGGAAGATGAAACAAGGTTCAGCTCAGGGTTATTGGTATCTAAGCCTTCAGCAGAACCTGAGGCCTCTCATAATTTTATGAGTACCTCAAAGAAATTGAGAAAAATCAACTTTTACAGATTTACTCTGGGATACTTTGGGCCATTCACACACAGTTTGTTACGCACATTGCACCCAAATACACACATTGACTCCTTAACAGTAACTTCAGTTTATATGGATGTTTCACAATCTGAACTTTAGGAAAATGTTTTTTTCCACAGTATGTCTACGCATCATATTGTCTTTTCCCCTATTTGAAAAAAGTCTAAAATAAAACAATGAAATGTAAAATTAGTCTTACTGGGTGGTTGCAAATCTATTTCACCACCTAAATAAATTCTATATACAAAAAACACTGATGTTGATTATTAATTTTCCAACCATTTTTAATTTCAACTTAATATTTGAAACTAATTTGAAATACACTGAGGTCACACACTTTGTGCATTGTGCAGTGGCTTTCTTCCAGTGGGGGGATGATGATCAGTGAACGACTGAGTGAATGCAGAGTGATCTAAGATCTAAGAGACCTCACCTTGTTGAGCTGGCTGATGTAGTCCAGACCTGCACCAGGCTGAGGTCGGTCCAGTTTCTCTGCTATGGTAGCCATGTTATGCAGCTGCACTGCAAACTCCCGCTCACTCTTAGCCCGTTGACCCATCCACTTCTTCATGACCTCCATCAGGTGAAGCTCTGAGTCCAGCAGCCGCATGACTGCTGCATGTGCCTGTGGACACCTAAGGTCCTCCCCAAAACCCATCTCTGAATAGTTTCACTCTCCTCTATCCCAGGGATTTGTTGTAAGCAGTAAATCCTATACAGCCCCTTTGTTTTTTCTCAGAGTGGGACAGAAACTGAGTGGTGAGCTGAAGCAGCTGCTAATGACCAAGAGGAGTTATTTCTCTGTGGCCATAGAGGGGTTTCACTTCCCTGTATGCAAAAAAAAAGTACAGTGGTTTGTTTGAGGCAGCACTTCCTTGTGTCTGTTGAATGTGGTTACTGTTGAAATTGAAATTTTACTTTCAATTTAGGAACAATGTTAGAGCCAAAAAAACTATTGTTGTGAGTGTATAAAATAATAAATAAAATACAGAAACAACACACACACAAATGTTCCTACGTTTATCTGTCTGCATATATATATTTATATAGTATTTCCCTTTTATAGCTCATACTTGTACGTCACTACATTTCATTCATTTTTTTGCTGTAGTTACTATACTGAAAAAGACTATATAGAAAAACATATGATCATCTCATAAAATATGATGCTATAGATTCAACTGAAAACAGTAAAATGCAACGTACACATCAGTGCAACACTAATAATGATTCACTTACATGATTTATGACAATATTCAGCTCACAGGAGCCACATTCCTTCTGTAATGTTGACTGTTGTTTGCTGCTACCTTTACTCAAGTAAATGACCAGAATACTTCACCCAACACAGAAAGTTAAATTTTTTTTTTCCATTTTCTTTTAACATTGTGTTTCTACAAATGTACAAAAGAACATCTGGTGAGTAGGTTAGTGGAGCAGCGTGGCTTCAAGACTTCCCCCCACTGACCTGAAAGTCTGACGCAGGCAGGTGCAGGTTTACACATAAAATAGGGAAGAATTAATAAACATAGTGCCCAGTGCTGTTTAGCTTTGAACATTGGCCAGTGTGGGGAAACCTTCTGTGGGTGCTGTTTTTTTTTTTTTAAGTAAACTGTTCACAGACTGTAATAAAAACTGCTGATGGTATTTTTTGCATTAAATAAAAAAAGCTTTTCATTTTCTTATTACCTCAGTGTGAACCCAGTCTCACTTCATTACTTGTATTTATGACTTGGTTAGTGTTGGGTGCAACCTCTGTGTTGTAAACTCATTGGCTTAATTACACCAACTATACATCATCAAATACAATCATTAAACAGGCTGAAGAGAAGGACGACAAAAATACAAAGAAAAAGTGCAGCTCTGCTCAGGCTGTCTGTACGGACCACAGAGGAAATGTCAGCTTTCATGTTTAGGTACTGTCATAGGCTTTAGTGTAACAAACCACTGTGACTCGAAGCTCTAGAGAACAGTGCTTTACTGACTAAATGTGTCACACTCTAACATTTATTTATTTTCTGCTTCTTTGTTCTTCTACTCCACTACATTTTAGAGGGTGCATCAGCATGCATGCTAACATGTTCACAATGATGCCAGTATCAAGCTGACCTGGTTTGATTTTATCAATCAGATAGATAGATAGATAGATAGATAGATAGATAGATAGATAGATAGATAGATAGATAGATAGATAGATAGATAGATAGATAGATAGATAGATAGATAGAGATAGGATAAACGATGGAAAATATATGCATCGATTGGCTCTGATGTCATCCGAATTCTGAATCCATATATATGCATGAATAATCCACCTGCCAGCCACCTGAACGAATCATTTTTCCACGATTTAGAAGACCCTCACCCAATGTAATTCCATTATTTCTCAGTGGATATTAAGTGTGATGATATGACAACATGTTACACTAAATTAGGCAGTTTTAAATAAAACATCTATTTAATGTAAAAGATGTCCTTTTTTTGGTAAAATGGCAACAGGTATTTCCACAATACGCCTGAACACAGGCTGACATTTAAATTCTGAATGTCACTGCTACCTTCTGAACCACAAACTATTTAAAAGCTTTCTAATAATGTTTGGATGCTGCCCATAATATAAATATGAATCATAAAAAAACTCCGCAGTCCAAAAACAGTCTTATACGTGCCATGATGAAAAGTGAAGCTTAAAATTGTTCACTATATTTAGAGAATGTAATTAATATTTTCCTCATACATAAGGCCCTATATGTTATTTCACCCATCTGTACCCATCCGCTGTTAATGAGCATGTCAACTTTTATGATCCGCGGGTTAACCTCAGTGCCCCAGATTTAACTGCGATCCTTGCATCACTGGTACATATATTACATTTGCATATAGTTGGACAATTATTTGTTACTCTGGCAGTTGTTTTGTTGTTTTTTTTTGTGTTACCCTGTCTTGTTCACTATCATTGTTTTATGTGTTAGCATGCTAACATTTGCTTGAG